CTGCAAAGATGAAAAATTTCTGAACCAAAATCAATAAGAACAGCCGAATACCTCCTCTGATATCCTATTATCCGGGTACACGAGAGATATTTTCCAGGTTTCTCGGCACTTTCTGAAGCATGGTTGAGTACTGCCATCTCGTGGCCGCCGCGTGATTCACTACCAGCTACAACATGTAGCAGTGAGAGAAAAAACATTACGTAGCATTATTAAATATGAAAGAATTATATGATAAACATATCACACAATTCTTTCCAGGTTTAATTTATTAATAAATAGAAGGCCAAAAGGTATCGTGAACGTACGAGTATTTATAATAAATCTGACTTGTTATAGGAAGTAAACTTTAAGACGATGCAATTCTTATGTTTTAGGCGATGCTTTATTATATACTATGTATCTCTCCGCTATATAATTCTCTGAAATTTTTTCCATCGTTTAATATCCAAATATTTTATCAGCTAATTATTTTCGGGTCACTAGATGAAATTCGTCTTCCTCTCTGAATTGTCACGCTATGAAACGCTACTTCAAGTCTCGTTTAGTAGTGCAATCTGATGGCGGAATGCGTAACTATTAGCATTAACTAGCTCCACCACCCGTCCTTAGTGCTGCCCTCTGGTAGCTAATTCTAAACTAACAGTAACTACGAGATTCATCAGTGACTTAATAAAATAAAAGACAACCTCATATAGTCGGAGTAAAAAATATCACGCTTATTACACGGAATTTCTTTTGAGTTCATATTTTTAGGTACCAGACTGAGATTACTTTAAACTTCGATCTCAGTAACCTGGATTGCTTAATACGAAAAAATTAATTAAAAGTTAATTACTGGGTATATCGAGGTTAGTGGGTTTATATTTTCTATTTAGGCTTCATATTCTTTTGTGTTTTATATTATTTTATCCTCTTTTTGTTGACGATATTCAGTAAAGGACTACGAATAAAATCGCTATTATGACTTTTATAGTTCCGGTTCCTAGCTGCAAAGATGAAAAATTTCTGAACCAAAATCAATAAGCACAGCCGAATACCTCCTCTGATATCCTATTATCCGGGTACACGAGAGACATGTTCCAGGTCTCTGGCGTCTTTCTTAAGCAAGGTCGAGTACTGCCATCTCCAGGGCGCCGCGTGATTAACCTTTCTAAATTGTCATGCTATGAAACGCTACTTCAAGTCTCGTTTAGTAGTGCAATCCGGTGGCGGAATGCGTAACTATTAGCATTAACTGGCTCCACCACCCGCCCTTAGTAGTGCCCACTGGTAGCTAATTCTGATGTAACAGTAACTACCAGATTCATAAGTGACTTAATAAAATAAAAGACAACCTCATATAGTCGGAGTAAAAAATATCACGCTTATTACACGGAATTTCTTTTGAGTTCATATTTTTAGGTACCAGACTGAGATTACTTTAAATTTCGATTTAAGTAACGTGGATGGCTTAATACGATAAAATTAATTGTAAGTTAATTACTGGGTATATCGAGGTTGGTGGGTTTATATTTTCTATTTAGGCTTCATATGCTTTTGTTCTTTATATTATTTTATCTTCTTTTTTGACGATATTCAGTGAAGGACTACAAATAAAATCGCTATTATGACTATTAATAGTTCCGGTTCCTAGCTGCAAAGATGAAAAATTTCAGAACCAATATCAATTAGAACAGCCAAAGACCTCCTTCGATTTCCTATTATCCGGGTACACGACAGACATTTTCCTGGTCTCTCGCGTCTTTCTTAAGCGTACTGCCATCTCGTGGCCGCCGCGTAATTCACCACTCCAAATTCTGACACTATGTAAGGCCACTGCAAGTCTCGTTTAGTAGTGAAATCTGGTGGCGGATTGCGTAACTATTAGCAATAACTAGCTCTCACCACCCGCCCTTAGTAGTGCCCACTGGTAGCTAATTCTGAACTAACAGTAACTACCAGATTCATAAGTGACTTAATAAAATAAAAGACAACCTCATATAGTCGGAGTAAAAAATATCACGCTTATTACACGGAATTTCTTTTGAGTTCATATTTTTAGGTACCAGACTGAGATTACTTTAAACTTCGATCTCAGTAACCTGGATGGCTTAATACGATAAAATTAATTGTAAGTTAATTACTGGGTATATCAAGGTTAGTGGGTTTATATTTTCTATTTAGGCTTCATATTCTTTTGTGTTTTATATTATTTTATCCTCTTTTTGTTGACGATATTTAGTGAAGGACTACGAAGAAAATCGTTATTATGACTTCAATAACAGATCCGGTTCCTAGATGCAAGTATGAAAAATTTCTGAACCAAAATCAATAAGAACAGCCGAATACCTCCTCTCATATCCTATTATCCGGGTACACGAGAGACATTTTCCTGGTTTCTCGGCACTCTATGAAGCATGGTTGAGTACTGCCATCTCGTGGCCGCCGCGTGATTCACTACCAGCTACAACATTTAGCAGTGAGAGAAAAAACATTACGTAGCATTATTAAATATGAAAGAATAATATGATAAACATATCACGCAATTCTTTCCAGGTTTAATTTATTAATAAATAGAAAGCCAAAAGGTATCGTGAACGTATGAGTATTTATAATAAATCTGACTTGTTATAGGAAGAAAACTTTAAACGATGCAATTCTTATGCTTTAGGCGATGTTTTATTATGTATTATGTACCTCTTCGCTATACACGTCTCTGAAAATTTTTCCATCGTTTAGTGTCCAAATATTTCATCAGCTAATTAATTTCCGGTCACTAGATGAAATTTGTCATCCTCTCTAAACTGTCAGGCTATGTAACTCTTCTTCAAATCTCGTTTAGTAGTGCAATCTGGTGGCAGAATGCGTAACTATTAACATTAACTAGCTCCACACTCGCCATTAGTAGTGCCCTCTGGTAGCTAATTCTGAACTAACAGTAACTACCAGTTTCATAGGAGTCACTTGATAAAATAAAGGACCTCATATGGTCGGTATAAAAATATCACTCATATTACACGGAATTTCTTTTGAGTTCATATTTTTAACTACCAGATTGAGAGTACTTTAAACTTCGATCTCAGTAACCTGGATGGCTTAATACGATAAAATTAATTATAAGTTAATTATTGGGTATATCGAGGTTAGCGTGTTTGTATTTTCTATTTAGGCTTCATATACATTTTTATATTATGTTAACCTCTTTTTGTTGACTATATTCAGTGAAGGAGTACGAATAACATCACTATTATGAGTTCGTTTTTGGTTCCGTTTCCTTGCTGCAAGTATGAAAAATTTCTGAACCAAAATCAATTAAAACAGCCAGATACCTTCTATGATACAGTATTATCCAGGTAAACGACAGACATTTTCCTGGTCTCTTGAGTCATTTCTGAAGCATCTCGTGGCCGCCGCATGATTCACCACCATCTAGAACTGAAAGCAGCGAGTAAATGCATTCATAGCAATACTAAATATAAATGATTTATACGATAAACATATATATCTTCACGCAATTTTTCAAAATTTAATAATAAAAAAAAAGGGATCCAAAAGTTAACGTGAACATAATTCTAATTAAATCTGACATTAATAGTTCGGTTGTAAATTTCTCTAAAATGCAGTACATACGCCTTAGGCGCCAGTGTTATTAAGCATTGTGTGGTTACTCAAAGTATGTAGTATAACTTTTACTATTCGAACTACCTATTTGTCGAATTTAGCAACGGATGTCACACTGTTTGCTGCAATTAGACGAACTGTGAAAATCCTAATGCTCTCTAGGTCACCATGTATTCTCGTTAGTAATGAATCTGATAGTTAATCCTTAAAATAACCAAGGCTATTGAATCACAACAGAGTTAAATTTAAAGTAATGCAAATCATATTCTATCACACTTACACAAAGCAACTATTCTGAGATAGACTTCAAACCTAACATCCCCCTGCACAAAGATATTGGGGAGTGGAGGTACAGCTCCACCATTCTTGATCTGGACAGTTTAGGTTCATGCACTGTCCATTTTATCCAATGGGAGAGATTTTATTTACATACTTTTTAGCAGGTCAATCTTTACACATGCTCTCGTTTCTATACACTAGAACAAGATGTACCCAACAGGTGTGAGGAGAGTATTGTAAGATTTACTGAACTATACAATCCCTGGAAAAGATATCATAGAATTCTAAAGTGAACTTGATTCCAAATGGAGCATGAAACAGTATGGCATAATTATACATATTATGTGACTGACTGGCATATACAAATGGCATGGAAAGAAACCAGAGTTCATATGCCCCCCCCCCAAGCCTACCTGTGAACAAGCAAGGAAATGTAACCATTGATAGGAAACGTTGATGCATGCAACCTTAGGAAGAGACCAATTAGCTCATACTTTTGTTAGGGGTGTCGCCTCACATTCTGTGGATGTCCATGTTTTGAGAACTGCTACATAAAAAAAATTGGAAAGCGTGGAACACTATGGGCGATGAACCATTATGCAATGGTTAGACTTGAAAGTTATCACAGTAGTCCCTATGAACAGTATTATCGCCTGGCATGTAATGCATAGTCTGGTAGAAGCTTACCAATATTTCAGAGGAATGTTTTGCTTCCATCTTTGGGGTCAGCAAGAACTCCTATGGAGTCAGGGAACATTTACAAGTTTATGAAAAGGAGCTAAACAATTTAACAACAGATACTAAAACTCTGTCTGCCTGCAATAAAATATGGGTTTGTTCGAAGTACAGCAACCTTACACTTGTGTTGTGAATTTGCTGCTGTGACTGCGATCACAACTGGCAAGCCATCCACTGTACAACGTACTTGTCCATGATGCTTCATACATTCTTCTAAGTGAAAGAAAAAACAATTACAATTTTGGGCATAAAATTGGTTTACTTATGACATAAATGTATGACCATGTATATATTGCTCAAATTTCCTATACAATGCAATCTACTGTTTAATAGCATGGCAGACATACTCATTACAGAAGATACTTTTTTTAGAAAATGCTTTTTGTTTCATGGTTTTACATTTTTTCATTTACGTAACACATCAATTTCTAAGCAAAATCATGCACTTTCACATTTACATCTGGACCAGTGAGAGAGATACTGCCCAGTTACACCATGGCCAATTAACAAATGTGTGCATGAATTATGATATTAGGCTCTCTGATACTAATACTAAAAAAGTTGTTCGTGTGCTTAGTTAAGCACTATGCCATGAAGACAGATGGGGGAGTAGATATAATGTACAGCGCCACCATTCTTGACCTTGGCACTAGATGGAGGTGAAGGGTCAGCTTCTCACCCATGTTGCTGTACACTGGAGGTACAGCGCCTGGTACCCTTTGAAAGGAGGCTGGGTGGGCCTCAGGGCCAGTCTGGACGCTGTGGAGAAAAACAAATACTGCACTGCTGGGAATGAAACCCAGGCCATCCAGCCTGTAATACGGACCAAGCGACCGTTGCTTGTTGGCGAAGTTAGTGACAACTTCTGGCTGCGCCATGGCTCAAGTGATTAGTTGCTGGCTTCCCACCGCGGCGGTACAGGTTCGAGCCTGGGTCTGGTCAAGTGGGATTTGTGGTTGACAAAGTGACGCTGGGGCAGGTTTTCTCTGAGTACTTCGGTTTCCCCTGCCAATCTTCATTCCACCAGTTGCTCCACAATCACCCTCACCTATCATCTGGGGCTGGTACAATAGGCCAGAAGTGGCCACAGTGCAAGGGACTTATTCCCACCCCACTAGCATAAAAAAATAAAAATAAAAATAGTGACAACTTTAGCAGATAAAGGGTGTCGTGTGGTCAACACAATGAATCCCCACAGCCATTAATTTCGGTTTTCTAGACTGGAGCTATTATTTCCTTGAAACAGCTCGTCAATTATCCTCACGAGGCTGAGGGAACCCTGTTTCAGACCCACTACATCTTAGAAAATGTGGTAGCACCGGGAATCGAACCTGGACCTCTGCATCTCTAGGCAGGAATTCTGACCACTAGACCACAAAGGGGGTCCCAATGTCATATAATACCAAGCTATTAATCACTTATGAGTTCTTCTAGTATATATGTTAATTCTCAGACCTCCCATTTGTTGGAAATGTTTCTTCCCAGGTCCTCCAATACTGACAGGGCACATCTGAATACAGAAATATCAAAGCACTCTAGGTTTCTCCATATGCATTCCCATTTTTGTACAGAAGATTGCACCTGAATATCCCTGAATGCACTTCTTGCACATGAAAAGTCTACTACTATATCATATGTGTTCCTCTCATCCAATTAATACATCAAATATTCATACTTTATTGTGATTTGTACCTGGATGCCAAGTGTGAGTGCGTTTATGTTTAAGAAGACTGACACCCTGACGGAAAGCTTTACTACAAACATCACACTTATACGGTCTCTCGCCTGTGTGTATACGATAATGCTTCTTAAGAGTCGACCCTAATGAAAAACGTTCATTACAAACATCACAACTATACGGTTTCTCCCCAGAATGAACACGCCTATGAACAGTCAGGTTTTCTTTACGTAAGAAATTCTTATCACAAACTTCACATTTATAAGGTCTATCTGTAGAGTGGATGCGGTAATGTACATATAGTGTATTTCTGCGAGAGAAATACTTCTTACATATTTCACACTGATATGATTTTCCTCCACTGTGGGTGAGTTGATGGTTCCTTTGGGATCCTCTGTGGGTAAAACGCTTATTGCAGACTTCACATGAATATGGTTTCTCTCCAGTGTGAATTCTTCTATGTGCATCCAGATAGTCACTTCGTGCAAAAACTTTGTGGCAAGTTTGACATTTGTAAGCCTCTTTATTGTGTATACGGATATGTCGGATAAGTCCATTCCGCTTTGGGAATATTTTATTACATGTGTTACATTTATAACATTCCACTGCATTTGTTTGGGAACCACCATCAGTGTTTCCAGAAACTTTTGTGTTTACATAATCACGACAACCATCCGATACTGCGCTGCGAATCTGCTGACCATACATATGGACATCACCACCAAATGACTCCTTGAGTTCATTATTATACTGCTCCATTCTGCGAAGAAGAAAAAAAGAGAGAGACCACAATGCAGAAACCATACTTTAACAAGAAATAATGTCCAACCATTTAAGATGTTTGGTGACACAACTTACAGTTATCTAATGTCATAACTAATTATTAGAGTGAACAGGAATATATATATATATA